AGCTGCCAGGACTGCCGGTGGCTGGAAAGATCAGCAACAACATCCCACAGCCATGACCCTCAGGGAGACAGCGCAGGGGTGTAAGCCCCACGACAAGCGGAGGCGAGAGGCCTTACCCACCGCACCACACACAGACGCACTGCATACTAAGGCTGCTGAGGGACCTGGAGATATCCGGTTCTGACCACATACATACCTCCACCCAGGACTCAAAGACCCAACATCAAGAACCGGTGAAGATCTACCCAGCATGGACTGACACTGGGACTAAACGCTACCCGGAGAGCGGCCACCACCACTCCTTACCAAGCCACACGCCCTGCTGACTTGTGCCGTCTCCACCTGCAATAACGGGAACCACCTGGCGCGTAGCTGACTTACCAACGGAGCCGTGGTTACCACACCACCTGACGCTACTCATAAGTATCAAGCGTGATTAAAAAATGACATATATATCTGCTTAGTCATAAAGCACTTGGTCTGCTTGGGAGAGGACCTGCTGTCAAGTCTAAAGCGCATCGTGCATGATGCCCCCCCAGTTTTATAAGTATATGCCTAGCTCAAAAGCCTATTTGATGTTTATAATGCGATCACATTCTTCAATGGTGTTATTTTATATGTATGAGCGTCTTGGTTAAATCATTAAAGCCATAAAAGCGACTGTACTTAAATCTTAGTATTATACAGCAACGTTTTAATGAAGCAGAAAGGTTTAGATAATAAAGCGATGACATTTGACATAAAAATTAGTATTGACTTTAAGATACTGTTCCTACTCACTTAAGCAGCTTATTATGACATATGTAGTTATAGCATGTACCAAGCTTGTAATGTTAATTAAAAAATTAAGCGTTTACTCTGAATGCTGTACAGCAGTGAACGAGAATGTTCTTTCAAAATGTTGTACAGCAGTGAACGAGAATGTTCTTTCAAAATGTTTGTAAATGCTGTTGTGGCATTGGTGAAATGCGAATGCTATTCCATGCACAGCAAAAAATAAAGAATAAAAAAAAATAAAAAAAAGGACTCTCTTTTTTGCATACAGCATAAAGCAAAGTCTTATTTAAGGAGCTAAACAGGTATCACATTTGCTGGCTGTTCCATAAGACGGGGTAGACAATCTTCGGCACATCAAATTTTGTGGACAGCAACCTCCAAGATAGTTTTCTTTTATATCTGCTCATGTTTTTAGATAGTGTTAGTTATCATAGAGATCTCATCTAAATTCCCTCAATCCCTACATATCTTTGGGGCCAAATACTCAGCCATTCGTATCCCTTAAAGGACCACTATAGGCACCCAGACCACAATGAAGTGGTCTGGGTGCCAGGTCCCTCTAGTGTTAATCCTGCAGCTGAAAACATAGCAGTTTCAGAGAAACTGCTATGTTTACACTAGGGTTAAAGGACCACTATAGGCACCCAGACCACTTCAGCTTAATGAAGTGGTCTGGGTGCCAGGTCCAGCTAGGTTTAACCCTTTTTGCTGTAAACATAGCAGTGTCGGAGAAACTGCTATGTTTACCTATGGGTTAATCCAGCCTCTAGTGGCTGTCTCATTGACAGCCGCTAGAGGCGCTTCCGCGCTTCTCACTGTGATTTTCACAGTGAGAAGACGCCAGCGTCCATAGAAAAGCATTGAGAATGCCAGGGACGTCAGAAGAGGGAGGAGAGTCCCAGCGCTGGAAAAAAGGTAAGGGATTAACCCCTTCCTCCTCCTTCAGCACCAGGAGTGGGACTCTGAGGGTGGGGGCACCCTCAAGGCAATATAGTGCCAGAAAAACGAGTTTGTTTTCCTGGCACTATAGTGGTCCTTTAATCGAGCCTCTAGTGGCTGTCTCACTGATAGCCGCTAGAGGCGCTTCCGCGCTTCTCACTGTGAAAATTACAGTGAGAAGACGCTGACGTCCATAGGAAAGCATTGAGTTATTTCTCAGCCTATAGGTCATCCCTTGCTGTCACTGACCATTTTCATTCAAACGAAATAAGTGAAAAAATATCATGTCTTACCTCCACAAAGTTCCAATTCATCTCAAGTTCATCGCTGGCAATGCTTAGCTTAACAGGTTTTCCCAAAGAGTCCATGGATGTCTTCAGCTTCTTCATTGGTGGTTCGCCAAAGGTGAAATCATCTGGTGGTTCTTCTTTCTTTAGCTGTGCTTCCATGTGCACACTGCTGGTGGAGGGCATATCTTCAATTCCCATACTTTTCCGTTCCTCCTTTACCTGACCTTGCACTGTAGCACGTTTTTGAGGCGCTAGTTTTTTCGGCGTTTGTCTTTTTTGCGCTGCCTTCTTTGGTGCTGAGATTTTTGCAGTTGCCCTCTTCGGTGATAGAATTTCCTGCTTTATGGGCTTGTCCAACAAACCTTCACAGAAATTGTTCTCAATCCCAACTGATTTTCTCTGTAAGAATTTTACATAAATCAGTTATTTTCGTACAGTCCTTAGTAAATTTACAAATGGATATAAAATCCAGCAATGGAAAAGGTTATCAAGTAAACACTTCCCTTTATGTTAGAAAACATAACTAATAATAATAAGCAATAGACACTTGGTAAATGAGGATATATCATAGATACTGCAGAGATACACTTTACTAAATATACTTCTACAATCAAAAAAGATGGGCATCATTTATGGAAATCTCCACTCCCGAGACAAAATGGTTCCATAAAATGAACTCATGTACAAGTGCACACGCACAACAGAAATTTTAAGGTAAACCAAACCAGCACTGTGCATGGCAAAGAATTTGGAGAATATAATTTAGATCTAAGAGTTGGAAGGCCAAGTTTGGACGCTTGGATAAACCTGGTCTAAACCTTCCCAACCGGCTGCAAATCACACCTGGCTCTCAATGTTACCTCTTCCTTAACTTGCACTCCAACCATCTCATTGAGTCCAGACACATTACCAACCATCTCAGTGTTTCCAGAAATGAGCTCAGGCACCCTGTGCGTGGGGCTTGAAACACCGCTGACCTTTTTTGACACGGTCTAAGGGGAAAACGAAAAATAAATGAATAAATACCGGATTACTAAATAAAGTATGATCTACGGGTAACTTTTGTTATAGGGTTGTGCAGAAAAAGTGATAGCTACTCTTTCATGCATTAGTAGCTTTTTTCATCCCATTCCATACTTGTGTCACTCACCTTCCGTGGTCTTGGTGCTGCTGCACGCTTTGGCTTTGGTTCAGCTTTTTTTTTTATTTCTTTATTGACTTTTGGTGGTCTCTTTGCTTTAGGAGCTTTTTTTTCTGGTTCCCATTCATCTTCCTCCATGGTTTCATCTTCTGATTCAGTTCTGTTTGAAAGAAATTTGTGTGTTTAGAAAATGTTTGTAGATTGTAGAGGTTTGGTGACTCCCAGAAGGTGACACGTGAATAAATGGCCATAAACTTTTTACTGTCCACATCATAGTCTTCAACTTCCAGATTATTTATCGAGGGTCTTAAAGGGACACTATAGTCACCCAGACCACTTCAGCTCAATGAAGTGGTCTGGGTGCCAGGTCCCCCAGGTTTTAACCCTTCAGATGTAAACATAGCAGTTTCAGAGAAACTGCTATGTTTACATGGCAGGGTTAATCCAACCTCTAGTGGCTGTCTCCCTGACAGCCACTAGAGGCGTTTCTGCGCCTCTAAAATCGAAAATCGCATCCAGCGTGCAGAACGTCCATCGGAAAGCATTAAGAAATGCTTTCCTATGAACTGTTTGAATGCGCGCGCGGCTCTTGCCGCGCATGCGCATTCCGCTCCACTCGGGAGCCAACGTCGGACAGGGAGGAGAGGTCACCAGCGCCGAGGGAGCACGGCGCTGGATTAAAGTAAGTAACTGAAGAGGTTTTAACCCCTTCAGCGCCACGGGAGGGGGCTGCTGAGGGTGGGGGGGACCTAAGGGTTATATAGTGTCAGGAAAACGGTGTTAACAAATGTGTTAACAAATGACAACATTTATAAAAACCTGATGCTAGACATGTAACCAAAATTGTTTTTTTTGTTGTTATTACTTATTAATATTTGTGTCTATTATGTTGCATTGTTTTATATAATTTTTAAAGTGTTCAATAAAAATTATACATGGAAAACTTTTTTTTTATCAAAGCAATCGTTTTTGATAAAATGAAAGTCTGCCAGTATGCAGGCCATATCCCCACCAAATACAATCTATAATTAAGCCAGAATATATCCACAAACACTGCCAATACCTACTATTATTCAAGGGAAAATAGGAAATATCCCTACCCCTCACTCCACATGTGGGGGTTGAAAATTATATAAGATGACCACGCCAGCAAAAACCTCTACTCCTTCCTTACATTCCTTTAGATATAAAGGTGGAGTGCAAATTATAAATAATAACCCTTCAAACCCAGTGGCCCAAATAATAAACCCTCTAAAATGGTAGTTTCCTGAGTCCCTATATGTAACCAGAGGTGCTCAGTCCTCCTGGTTCAGTTCAAATATTTAAATGATCTCTGTCCCAGCTTCGCCAAATGGACATAAATTGACACATCTCCTATTGAGGTCCTCTTACCAGTAAATAATTTAAGGGAAAGTGAGGAATCTTCTCTAATCGGTATGCTTACTACTTACCCATCGTAATCAATTAAAGTGAAGCTCCCATTTGAACCCATAGGGGATAAAGGACTGTCTTGTATTTCCCATGTAACAACTCAATACCCACAGGAATGAATAGGAGGCCAAGGATTGGCTGAAATAGCTCATCCTTCTATTGCTGATAACTTACCTCAAGAACAAAAAACAGACTGCTTATTTTCCCTAAATAAAAAATAATATTAACTTAACTGTAACTATTTAGATTTACACTACACACATATTCCCCCTTCCACAACACTAATATAATGACATGGTAATCCTTTAGCATGCCTTTAGTTTATGCATTCCGGAACCTTCAACACAGACCATGCAGCAGTAAAGCAGAATACTCACACACTGATAAAAGACCACTCCTGCTTGGGGACGGCTGTGGTCTGTTTAGCTCTCCTCGTGAGTCCAGACATCTAGAAATGAATGCGTAACATGAGATTTATTTATGTCCAGGGAAAGAACAGAACCACCAGACTAATTTAATTTCCTTTCAATACAAAGGAACAAAAGAAAAACTTCCAAAATGTTAAATTTCTCTATGCTAGTGTGAAAAAGATATTTGGGAATCTTTAGTTGGAAGTAGCATCAGAAGCAAATTAGAATTCAAAAGGAAACAAAGTATGTGCAATAATTAGCTCGTGTAACTGTGTGTAACCAAAATATCTGAATTTCACTGTTTATCCTATCACATCAGATATACCCTTCCCTAGACTTTATTTATTATTGCCTCTATATGGAAATACATCTTCTAAAATGACTTAAAGTGTATTAAAGGAATACAAAGCTGTATTCATAACACTCTGATGTACCACCGTCCCCATGCAACCTCCGTTCACCTACTCTGACATCATCATGAGGGGGATCCTAATGAGAATGCATGGCGAGCACCACGCGCTTATTGAGCCTTTCCTATAGGAAAGTATTGAATCACAGTTTTTTTAAGGACAGTGGCCATCCTGGCATCCTAGGAGCCCAGGCAGTCCCCCTGCAGCAGATTCTGCACTCCCTAGACATGTGATCACGTGGTCCTCACGATCACATGGCCGGAATGGCTGTTTGTAGCTCTGCCTGTTATAAAACCCAAGTAAGAAGTACTTTGATTTATATATATATATATATATATATATATATATATGATCTAAGTACTTTTATATACACATACATACATACATAAACACAATTATTAAAAGTGTATATTAAAGGACCACTATAGTCACTCAGACCACTACAGCTCAATGAAGTGGTCTGGTTGCCAGGTCCCCCTAGTTTTAACCGTGCAGCTGTAAACATAGCAGTTTCAGAGAAACTGCTATGTTTACATTGCAGGGTTAATCCAGCCTCTAGTGGCTGTCTTCCTGCGAGCCGCTAGAGGCCCTTCAGCGACGCTCTATGCGAAAATCGCATTGAGCACGCAGAACGTCCATAGGAAAGCACTGAGTAATGCTTTCCTATGTGCGGTTTGAATGCATGTGCGTCTCTGGCCACGCATGCGCATTCGGCTACACACGGGAGCTGACAACGGAGGGGGAGGAGAGGTCACCAGCGCCGAGGGAGCCCAGCACTGGAATGAGGTAAGTGGCTGAAGGGGTTTTAACCCCTTCAGCCCAGCGGGAGGGGGAGACCTAAGGACTATATAGTGCCAGGAAAACTATAGTGGTCCTTTAATATTAAAACACACTTAGAATTAGAGAGAGAGAGAGAGTGAGAGTGTGTGTGTGTGTGTGTGTGTGTGTAAAATACTGATCAGATTTGTATCTTGTAATACTTTTTTTATTGGACTAACAGAATTTTTTTAATGACAAGAAGATACAAATTTTATCAGTTTTTTACATCTACATCACTGGACTAATACGGCTACAATCTCTAATAGAACTATATATATATATTAAAAAATAATCAATAAAAACATAAAAAAAAATAAAATAAACATTTTTTTAAATATATATATATAAAAAAACATGTGTAATTGTATTCTAACTATATTTCTGTATTTTGATATAAATATACTTTTTGTTTATCAAAATACATTTAGAATGACATTATAAATATATATTGATATATATATTTATATAGATATAACAAAGAGTTAAATATAAGGCTTGCATTTAAGTTTTTCACATGGAAATTTGTCCGATTGGTTACGTTGCCTTTGAGAGCGTATGGTAGCCCAGGAATGAGAATTACCCCCATGATGGCATACTATTTGCAAAAGTAGACAACCCGAGGTATTGCAAACAGGGTATGTCCAGTCTTTTTTAGTAACCACTTAGTCACAAACACTGGCCAAAATTAGCATTCAATTAGTTTTTTGCATTTTTCACACACAAACAAATATAAACGCTAACGTTGAGCAGTGTTTGTGACTAAATATGTGTATTTTATTGCAGTCACAGCTAACATTATTATGTCATTCACAGTTAAAATGCCAAGTAAAACTAAAAAAAATAAAATTTCTTAATTTCTCTATTTTGTTAGGGAGACAGAGTACAAGAAGAGAAAGAGCTGTTTGTATAGAATCTATCAGTAAAAAATTACTCTATACAAGGTATGCACACGTGTTTTATATATATAAAATTGGCTTGTGTACATATGTATATATGATGCCAAAATACCAGAGTATTGCAGTATGCAATGATACCTTTTTTTATTGGACTAACATAATATTTCAAAGACAAGTTTTCGAGAGTTATCCTTTGTTCCTCAGGTCTGAAGCAATACTGATCAATCTGATAAAGTTGAAAACACTTAAAACAACTGATGTTAGAGAAAGGGAGGGAGGGGGTGAGTGGGGTGTCATAAATAGCAGAAGATGTGCCTGGAAGTGAAAGGTTGAGAATAGCCAGAAAAAAATAAGCAAACAGAGAAGCTGGTTAACCCCTTAAGTACGGAGCCAGATTTTGTTTACAAACAAAATTAAACAAAACCTGGCATTTGCGCTACATGTCTGTCCAACCGTAATTCACCTCTTTCATATTAAATGCACCCACCCTTATTATATATCATTTTATTCAGGGGAAACAGGGCTTTCATTTAATATCAAATATTTAGCTATGAAACATAATTTAATATGAAAAAAATGGGAGAAAATAAGATGTTTTTTTAATTTTTTTAGTTCTACATGACATTTTAACTGTCAATGTCATAATACTGTTTGCTTTTACGGCAATAAAATTCACATATTTGTATTCAGCAAAGTCTCACGTGTAAGACAGTACCCCCTATGTACAGGTTTTATGGCGTTTTGGGAGGTTACACGGTCAAATATAACACGTTACATTTGAAATTGAAATTCGCCAGATTGGTTATGTTGCCTTTGAGACTGTATAGTAGCCCAGGAATGAAATTTACACCCATAATGGCATACCATTTGCAATAGTAGACAACCCAAGGTATTGCAAATGGGGTATGTCCAGTCTTTTTTAGTAGCCATTTGGTCACAAACACTGGCCAAAGTTAGCGTTAGTATTTGTTTGTGTGTGAAAAATGCAAAAAATGCCAATTTTGGCCAGTGTTTGTGACTAAGTGGCTACTAAAAAAGACTGGACATACCCTGTTTGCAATACCTTGGGTTGTCTACTATTGCAAATGGTATGCCATCATAGGGGTAATTTTCATTCTTGGGCTACCATAGGGTCTCAAAGGCAACGTAACCAATCTGGCGAATTTTAATGTGAAAAAAATGAAACACAAGCCTTATATTTGACGCTGTAACTTTTGAAAACACCATAAAACCTGTACATGAGGGGTACTGTTGTACTCGGGAGACTTCGCTGAACACAAATATTTGTGTTTCAAAACAGTAAAAAGTATCACAGCAATAATATCGTCCGTGTAAGTGCTGTTTGTGCGTGAAAAATGCAAAAAAACATCACTTTTACTGGCGATATCATCGTTGTAATACATTTTACTGTTTTGAAACACTAATATTTGTGTTCAGCGAAGTCTCCCGAGTAGAACAGTACCCCCCATGTACAGGTTTTATGGTGTCTTGGAAAGTTATAGGGTTAAATATAGTGCTAGCAAATAAAATTCCCTTTACTTTCGGCATGGGTTGTCAGGCAGGTCCCGCTAATTGTAATTAATTAAGATACCTAATTATGTAAAAATATTACATAAATATATATGTAGAATTAATATAGGGGTTAACTAGCTTATTGACTCTCCTCTGTTTATTTACTTTTTCTGGTTATTCTCAGACAACCTGCACCTTTCACTTCCAGACACAACTTCTGCTATTTATGACACCCCACTCACCCACACCCTCCTTTTTCTAACATCAGTTGTTTTAAGTGATCAGTATTGATTCAGACCTGAGGAAGAGAAAACTCAAAAGCTTGCCTTTGAAATATTATGTTAGTCCAGTAAAAAAGGTGTCATTGCATACTGCAATACTCTGGTAATTTGGAGATATATATATATATATGATTAGCCGTATTAGTCCAGTAGACAGGATGCCAAAATACCAGAGTTTTGCAGTATATATATATATATATATATATATATATATATATATATATATATATATATATATATATATATATATATCCAGATAGCACTCCCAGGACTCTTTGCAAAATAAAACTTCGCTTTTAATTAGCTTTAAAATCAGTCGACCTTTCAATCTGTTATTCGCAGACTTTTATCAGGACCTGAAACGTTGATTAATTTTTAAAGCTGATTAAAAGCTACGTTTTATTTTGCAAAAAGTCCTGGGAGTGCTATCTGGATTACTCTTTTTGCTTGACAAGCAGCGGGCAAGTATATTGGGCATATATGGAGTGCAGGATTTATATATTATATATATATATATATTTCAACATTACCATTAACCCACCCCTGACCTCAGTAGCTTCCAAAGTACTTTCTATTACTTCCTCCCTTGGTCTATCACAGTGGGCTGATACTCCCACACATGTAGCTAGCAATACCCACGATCTTATTTTTTCTAATGCATGCACTATCTCTAAGCTCCACAACTCTCATTCATGCCCACTTTCTCCTGTCCCTCTCTGGCTATCTCCTCATAAAATGCTACCCTCACTTCCGCCCTGGACGGTGCAGCGTCCAGGGCAGAATTCTCACCCCCTTTGCTCCTCCCTCTCGCAACCACACATGGACTGTACCTTCCCTACCCTACAGACCTTCTCCCCAGCTACAGAACAGGAGGTGGCTTTGCTTCTCCTCTCGTCCCACCACCTGTCCGCTTGATCCAGTACCTTCCCACCTTATCAGATCTCTTTTCCCTTGTCTTGTACCATCCTTAAAGGGAAACTCCAGTGCCAGGAAAACAATCCGTTTTCCTGGCACTGCAGGTCCCCTCTCCCTCCCACCTCCCATCCCCAGTTGCTGAAGGGGTGAAAAACCCTTCAGGTCACTTACCTGAGACCCCGCCGATGTCCCTCGGCGGTGGTTTCTGCTCGCCGCCGCTCCTCCCAGTCATTACTTTAGCCGGTGGGCGAGACTGATCTCGCCCGCCGGCTGAGGAGACCTAATGAGCATGCACGGCAATGCCGTGTACGCGCATTAGAGCTCTCCATAGGAAAGCATTGAAAATGCTTTTCAATGCTTTGCTATGGGGAATGGAGCGACGCTGGAGGTCCTCACACAGCGTGAGGACGTCCAGCGACGCTCTAGCACAGAAAACCTGTGCTATGAAGCAGGAAGTGCCCTCTAGTGGCTGTCTAGTAAATCAGATTTGGTGGCTGTCTAGTAGACAGCCACTAGTAGACAGCCACTAGAGGTGGAGTTAACCCTGCAAGGTAATTATTGCAGTTTATAAAAATAACTGCAATAATTACAGTTGCAGGGTTAAGGGTAGTGGAAGTTGGCACCCAGACCACTCCAATGGGCAGGATTGGTCTGGGTGTCTGGAGTGTCCCTTTAACACACATCCTAAACTGCTCTCTTTCATCTGGTGTTGTCCCTGCTCCCCTTAAGCATGCTACTGTCGTACCCATCCTATAAAAAAAGACATCCCTAGACCCGTCTTCCCCTTCCAACTGTCGTCCCATATCCCTGCTAACTTTTACTTCAAAACTTCTAGAAAGACTTGTCTTTACTCGTATGATTTACTTCCTAAATTCCAACTTCCTCCTCGATCCTCTTCAATCTAGCTTTTGTCCCCTCCACTCTACTGAGACTGCACTTATTAAAGTTACAAATGACCTAATCACAGCTAAATCCAAAGGCCACTACTCCATACTAATTCTTGTTGACCTCTCTGCTGCCTTTGACACTGTTGATCATGTTCTCCTTCTTCAAATTCTTCAATCCCTCGGTCACTGTGACACTGTCCTCTTGTGGTTCTCCTCCTATCTCTTCCAACGTTCGTTCAGTGTTTCCTTTTGCAAAGAACCTCCTCCTCTCGCCCTGTCTTGGTTGGAGTCCCCCAAGGATCTGTTCTTGGTCCCCTTCTATTCTCTCTTTCTCTCCTCCCCTGATCTTTCCCTCGCGGTCCTGCAATGCCTTTCCTCAATCTCTGACTGGATGTCCTCCCGCTTTCTGAAACTCAATCTCTCTAAAACTGAGCTTATTTTTCCCCTCATAATGCTGATCCTCCTCCTTCTGATCTTTCTCACCCGTCATACCTTGCCCCTCTGTCAATCCTTACACCGGCTTCCTGTATCCTATAGGTGCCAATTCAATATACTAACCCTTACCTATAAAGCTCTAACCAACTTTAGCCCCTCTTACATTTCTTCTCTTATTCATAGATATTCCCCTTCTCGGTCTCTCCGCTCTGTCGGTGACCTTCTCCTGTCCGCTGCTCGCACCCTTCCTGCTAACTCACGCTTGCAGGACTTCTCGCGGGCAGCTCAGCTCTTTTGGAACAACATGTATACCCCCATCAGACTCTCCCCTAGTCTTCAATTATTTAAGAAGTCCCTCAAAACACACCTGCTCAGAAATGCTTATGGACTCCGAGAGTAACTTATCTATACTTATCCATATCTGTCTCTTGCTCTCCTAAAAGAGCCATACTCCATTCTTACCTCTAGCTCTGCTACTTTTCCACCTTGTTTGGTGGCTGTCACCCTTGCTGCCCTGTTGTGTATTTGTACCCCACCTCCTCTAGACTGTAAGCTTGTTTGAGCAGGGCCCTCATCTACCAATTATTCTTGTGTCACTATGTAATTGTCTCATTTGTTGTAAATATATCCCTTTCATAATATTGTAAAGCGCTGTGGAATTAGTTGGCGCTATATAAATACCAATAATAATAAAAATAATAATATATATGTAGGGATTGTAGCCGTATTAGTCCAGTGATGCAGATGTAAAAAAACAGATACAATTCCTATCTTGTAATACCTTTTTTATTAGACTAACAGAATTTTTTAATGACAAGCTTTCAGGAGAACCTACCTTATTTAAGTCTAAAGCATTTCTGATCAAAGAAAACACATAGAATTCAAAGTTGACTTGTGATTCAGGGGTTAAAGCGACATGAGTGCAGATAAGACACAGGTTTGATGGAAAATAGACACTGTTTGCTTGGTTTTTTTTTCTCACTACCCCCTCACTCTGTGATCTTCACACAAGATATTTATGACCCTGTACAAGAATGGTGTTTGTTTTCTCCCAAAAGCTTGTCATTACAAAATTGTTAGTCCAATAAAAAAAGATATTACAAGATACGAATTTTCTCTCTTTTTTACATACACACATATATATATATATATATCTTTATAACACACACACACACACTTTTCTTTCTTTTGAATTGCTTCCTTTTGAATTATAATTTGCTTTTGGTGGAACTTCCTATTAAAAATACACAAATATCTTTTCACACTAGCATAGAGAAACTTTTGATTTTTGAAGTTTTTCTTTCATTTATTTATAGTTGATGATTAGATTCATTACCAGTGCACGTGCGGAGTTAGACCCGATTTTTCCGATACATATAACAGGTTTCCCCAGTATCAGTAATTACGTACATATAATTGCATTTCCATCCTAATAGAAAAATTGCTTATTTTAAACTGGATCTATCACTTTTCAGTATTTCAATTGAAGATATAACCTTTATGAAATACTGATCAAGACTACGCCGTCAACGTTTGTCCAATCCCAGCAGCACTCACTGACATGGCTCCTGGCAACTGAAGCACCAGAAGTAGAAGAGGACAGCAGGATGAAGATGGCGGCTGCCAAAATGGACATCCTAAGGAACGTAAAACTTATGTTCCCTGAACCCTGTGGTCACAGGACCCACGTTGGATTTGTCCGTTTTAAGGGTCTTTGCGAAATAGGCAAAGATCCTCAAAGGTGGCATATCCATTTTAAAGGTCTATAAACACACACAAAAAATCATTTAAAAATAAATGTATGAAGATATATCTCACACACAATAGCCAATGTTTTGTTAGCCATCAGAAAGTGCCATTATTTTCCAAGTTACAGTTACGCTTTATGGTGCATCAGATTCTGAAGGTGTCTACAGACATTGTATCACAAAGTTCCCCAATTCACATTAAAGAAGAACAATAAAACTCATTATTGCTTTGAGTATGAACATCCTAAATTACTATAATTTAACTGTCTCTTTAAAAGTTAAAGAGCTTGTAATAAACAATTTCTCCTGGTGACAAACACTGATGGATGATCCATATAAAGCTTGTGGTGCATACCTTTTTTTATTCTTTCCTGTCCTTCAGCCAAGTAAATCTGCAATGGAAGGCAAACAGAGATTGTTTAGTTTTACTTGTTTTTTTTGTTTGTTTGTTTTTTTTTTTAAAGTAACACCAAATTAACTCCCAAATTCTACCTGCACCACCCAAGAACTTTTGATAAAGATATCTCGGGTTACCCCAATTATGCTCCCATTATACTTAAAGGGGCACTCAACAGCCAAAATGCAAAAAAAAAAAAAGTCACTGTTTAATAGATATAACCCAAATTAAAACATGTAGGCACTTTGTCACAAACGCACCTTACTCCACTTCTGGTGGTGAAAGGGTTAAAATTCACTGGTTTGTCTGCACTAGACAGGAAAAACATGAAGAAAAAAAACACTCATACCTAATTATAATAAAATAAATAATCTCATAACACTTAACAAAAAATAAAACCCCACCAAATACAATTTAGCACAATATCTATGCAAATTCAAAATACTAATAAACAGGTCTAATCAGGTAACGTGAGTCTTTACTAGACAAAGGCAGAACTTCATAAAGCAATATTTACTATGAACAAACAATAATAACAGTGCACATAAAAGCAGATGGCAAACACATTATTTACAGGAACACCAATTAAAAATAAAAAAAGGAGAAATTAACAGACAAACCAAACTACGCACTTAGATGGTAAAGTAATAGGATTTTCTGTTAGGAGGGTCTCAGGCAAGGAAAGATGGCAACTTACTCAGTATTAGACCTTGGCCCCTAATAAGCACACTAAACATTTGCCCATCAATAAGATGTTTACCTCCTGTATTCATCTCAGATTTCCAAGACAGCCCAGAGGTGGGATAGGTGGAGAGGAAGGCGTATTTTTATGAACAATAAAAGACCTCCCCCTTGGGTTCCAGACCCACATCAATGGGTCACATCAATCGAAATAGAAACTTGTGATTGCATCTCTTTTTGTATGCTTGCCACAGAAATAGTTATTGCATTTATGAATGTCTTGCAATTTTTCAATTCCATACAAATGTCACACGTCCTACTTATGATCCAATATAGTGGACTTCACAGTTCTTTCAAAAGTTTTATGCCATATGTATTTGCTTTTTTGTAGGTTGTGCTTTTCCCATTCCAAATATGCACAAAAAAAAGGTAGGATTATTGATTGGTCATTATTAATAATGTTTGTTTTGGATATGACAGTGGAACACAATGGTTCTCTTGAATGCGAATGGTCATTAACTTATCAAAAGAACCCACTATCTAAGAGGGGATGTAGGCATATGGTAAATTAGCCAGGTAGTTTACATTGAGCTAGACTTAGAGCCATCTCATGTGTTACATTTCACACTTTGAAGAAGCTTTGGTTGAAGTCATCCTGTAAACCATCTGACATCTATCACTTACCTAATTATCCAATATAACCCCTCTCCTGACAATTTTGCAAGTAGCCAATTCATATATGCCCTACACAAATTACAGTAAAGGGATTCGATAGTGCCAGGAATACAAATCTGTATTCATGGCACTGTAGCTCCCTCTGCATCTACGCCATGATTATTAAAAGGTTAAAAACACTTTATTTACTTACCTGATTCCCAGCGCCAATGTCACTCGGCGCTGGGTCATGGTTCTGACTCCTCTGACATCACTCGACGAGGGGGCACTAATGCACAGGCGTGGCGAGTGTCGCGTGCCCATTAGGCCCTCCCCATAGAAAAGCATTGAATCAAAGCTTTCCTATGGGGAAATAGCAAACGCTGGATGTCCTCATAAAGAGAGTGAGGACGTCCAGCGTCAGTTACTGGACAAAAAATCCGGTACCATTCCGGAAGCACCTCTAGTGGCTGTCTGGAAGATAGCCACTAGAGTCAGTCTTAGTGCTGCAATGTAAACATTACAGTTTCTCTAAAACTGCAATGTTTTACATTGCAGCACTAAGTGTAACAGAGACACACTAAATGAGCTAAAGTGGTCTGGGTGCCTATAGTGTCCCTTTAATAAGCAATATTCAATAGTGCGACAATGAATTAAGCACCCTTGGTGTGACACACTTATTGGTGCATTTCTTTTCTCTTTGTATCTCTATTCTGCTCCCTTTGCAAGTCCTCCCCTTCTAACCCTGCCCAGGCTTTCTGTGACTGTCCAATCACAGACTTTCTAATGCAACTTAATGAGAAGTCCTCACAAGTTAGTTGCTCTGGGCAATTGCTGCCTCTTGAGTTTACCTCCACTGAGATAACCAACTGAGAAGTAACAGGACCTGTTGTCTGATTGACAGTCAGGTGGGTGTAACAAGGTTCGTTCATATATAAAAGTTCCAATTTCAACTGAAATCTGTACTTTTTTGTAAACAGACAAAAAATGAAGACAAACTCTTCACACATAAATCATTTTAGCAAGCTAAAGTGCCTTAGGGGTCCAGAGTGTCAATTTGAAAACAAATTCTGCAAATATATCAATATCCTATGCCAGGGGTCAAAAACCTATGGCACGTGTTCCAAGCATGACACTAGAGTGGCATTTGCACGGCACTCAAGGCTGTCACAACCAAACGGGTTCTGGTCTATCAGCAGTCACCAGTGGAGACTGAGTGGAGATTGCAGGTGTTATGGAGTAATCCTCAATGTATGCATTGCAGCACTTAGAGCAAGTGATCTCCCAGCACTTGTAAACAGGATCTGCTCTGGGATAGAGCAGCCCGCAGTAGCTATCGTAGCTCCTGCCCTTATTTTTTATTTATTTATTACTGGTATTTATAAAGCGCCAACAGATTCCGCAGCGCTGTGGAGAACATACAATATACAAACACAAATACAAAAGGTAGAGAGGGCCCGTGACATGTTCTTGGCCAGGCCGGTCCCCACTGGACCCCAGGAAAGCCACCCACACTGCTAGATATACACAGAGCTGCAGAAGAAGCCTTTTCCTCATACAAATAATACAAACAGCCCATACACAAAGAAACACACAGTCCCCACAATCACAACACAACTGACAATCCACATATATGTACACAACCCCACAATCAGCCTCTCACACACCAAACACACAATGTGGCATATCATCCACAAACACAATTAGACAAACAGCCCCCATAATATCACACAATATCACAAACTAATCAGGAACGTATACGGTACAGTATAATGGCCCACATATGCACACGTACAACGCTACAAAGCAACTGCAGAACCCATGAAGTAAACAAGCAGAATACGGCAACATACACACCTCAATTAAAAAAAAAAAAATAGGATCAGCACCAAGAGACTTCAAAATCTTTTTTTGGCCCAGAACTCCTATACCAATGAGAGTTTGGTACAACATTATGAATTCTGATACTGCATACACAAATGCACTCAGGGTTATTGGCTAAAGTGTGAATTGTCAAAGTTACATTTTAGGCCCAAATCAACAATTTACACTTTTAAAAGCCTTCAATAAGGTTTATTCGCTAAACCAAGAATTATGTTGACTTGACAAGGGAAATGTAAACATAGGAAAAAGTGGTGAAGTTTCATATGATTTGCATTTTGGCTATTCAAGTCAGTCAATTGGTGAATAAACCCCCACATGGCTCTGTGAATGTGGAAATAATTCTCAACCACATTTGGAACATTCAGCATGAACATTCCACTGGTTTCCATGGTAATTGCTACACGTTTAGAATTGTGTCCTAGAATTACCCTTTTTGCATAAATTTAATCCAAACAGCAGTTAATCCTACTCGTATAGGTATAATAAGAGATTTATTTTTTTGGTTAGTTATTGGTTACTCATGAGAGTGCAACACAGACTTCTACAGATTACCTGCAACAACCTCTATCGTTAATCACAGAACAAATGCAATAAGATGCCACAACGAATGGCAAAATTTTACAGTGAAAGCTGATCGAAGCTTTGTCAATTGCCATTATTTGCCAAAAATATTCCTGTTCATAAGACAAAGTAGTCACGGAGTATTGAAAAAGATTCTGTCTTTATGGAAAAGACCTGAAAAGTTCCAGTGCAATGCCACTTTAAGAAAAGCACTATATACACTGTAACCATTACTAATAAATATAAATAAATCACAACGTACGTAATAATTATTGAACAGAAACAATAATACTGTAGTGACCATTCTTCAACATAAATTATAGCAAACAATCTAATAAATATTATTAAACACAAATACAATGTATGTAACAGTTATTACTATTATTAAACATGAATAATAACTTTGATAAATAAGAGAAACTGGGTTGGGTATTTTGATTTGTGTCATTATGCAAATCAGGGTAACCCAAAGATTCATCAACAGAGGTATCCAAGTTTCTTGATATTTTAAAACCCGATACATCTTGCACTCTCCACTAAATATGAAACTGGGTGATATTTCTATGTAATTTTTGTAAAACAATCTCTGAAATATATATATTTTTAAAAATAAAAACCAAAACAAGACTTGTGCAAAAAAAATAAAAAAATCAAATAGAAATAGTGTACACATGATGGGAATTAGCTGTGTACATATTCTGTAACCAGCTATCTGCAGCTACAGAAGCCATGGCACTCCAGTTCTTGTGTACTACATGTCCCATGATGCTCAGCTGTAAGGAAATTCCTAACAGCTGTAGGGGCCAGGATTTACCAATATTGGTTTACAGAGAGTGCTAGAGGAGCATGCCATGAGTTAGCTAAATGATTTAAATAATCAGTAATACATACAGTCAGAAATAAAGCCTGCCTGCCTGCCCCAGGCTCTATGCTCACACAGTATGGACTCAATTCACTAATCAGTAATACATACAGTCAGTAATAAAGCCTGCCTGGCTGCCCTGGGCTCTATGCTCACACAGTATGGACTCAATTCACTAATCAGTAATACATACAGTCAGTAATAAAGCCTGCCTGCCTGCCCTGGGCTCTATGCTCACACAGTATGCACTCTATTCACTAATCAGTAATACATACAGTCAGTAATAAAGCCTGCCTGCCTGCCCTGGGCTCTATGCTCACACAGTATGGACTCAATTCACTAATCAGTAATACATACAGTCAGTAATAAAGCCTGCCTGGCTGCCCTGGGCTCTATGCTCACACAGTATGGACTCAATTCACTAATCAGTAATACATACAGTCAGTAATAAAGCCTGCCTGGCTGCCCTGGGCTCTATGCTCACACAGTATGCACTCTACTCACTAATCAGTATTACATACAGTCAGTAATAAAGCCTGCCTGCCTGCCCTGGGCTCTATGCTCACACAGTATGGACTCTATTCACTAATCAGTAATACATACAGTCAGTAATAAAGCCTGCCTGCCCTGGGCTCTATGCTCACACAGTATGGACTATATTCACTAATCAGTAATACATACAGTCAGTAATAAAGCCTGTCTGCCTGCCCTGGGCTCTATGCTCACACAGTATGCACTCTATTCACTAATCAGTAATACATACAGTCAGTAATAAAGCCTGCCTGCCTGCCCTGGGCTCTATGCTCACACAGTATGGACTCTATTCACTAATCAGTAATACATACAGTCAGTAATAAAGCCTGCCTGCCTGGCCTGGACTCTATGCTCACACAGTATGGACTCTATTCACTAATCAGTAATACATACAGTCAGTAATAAAGCCTGCCTGGCTGCCCTGGGCTCTATGCTCACACAGTATGCACTCTATTCACTAATCAGTAATACATACAGTCAGTAATAAAGCCTGCCTGGCTGCCCTGGGCTCTATGCTCACACAGTATGCACTCTATTCACTAATCAGTATTACATACAGTCAGTAATAAAGCCTGCCTGGCTGCCCTGGGCTCTATGCTCACACAGTATGGACTCTATTCACTAATCAGTAATACATACAGTCAGTAATAAAGCCTGCCTGGCTGCCCTGGGCTCTATGCTCACACAGTATGGACTCTATTCACTAATCAGTATTACATACAGTCAGTAATAAAGCCTGCCTGGCTGCCCTGGGCTCTATGCTCACACAGTATGCACTCTATTCACTAATCAGTAATACATACAGTCAGTAATAAAGCCTGCCTGCCTGCCCTGGGCTCTATGCTCACACAGTATGGACTCTATTCACTAATCAGTAATACATACAGTCAGTAATAAAGCCTGCCTGGCTGCCCTGGGCTCTATGCTCACACAGTATGCACTCTATTCACTAATCAGTAATACATACAGTCAGTAATAAAGCCTGGCTGGCTGCCCTGGGCTCTATGCTCACACAGTATGCACTCTATTCACTAATCAGTAATACATACAGTCAGTAATAAAGCCTGCCTGCCTGGCCTGGGCTCTATGCTCACACAGTATGGACTCTATTCACTAATCAGTAATACATACAGTCAGTAATAAAGCCTGCCTGGCTGCCCTGGGCTCTATGCTCACACAGTATGCACTCTATTCACTAATCAGTAATACATACAGTCAGTAATAAAGCCTGCCTGGCTGCCCTGGGCTCTATGCTCACACAGTATGGACTCTATTCACTAATCAGTAATACATACAGTCAGTAATAAAGCCTGCCTGGCTGCCCTGGGCTCTATGCTCACACAGTATGGACTCTATTCACTAATCAGTAATACATACAGTCAGTAATAAAGCCTGCCTGGCTGCCCTGGGCTCTATGCTCACACAGTATGGACTCTATTCACTAATCAGTAATACATACAGTCAGTAATAAAGCCTGCCTGGCTGCCCTGGGCTCTATGCTCACACAGTATGCACTCTATTCACTAATCAGTAATACATACAGTCAGTAATAAAGCCTGCCTGGCTGCCCTGGGCTCTATGCTCACACAGTATGCACTCTATTCACTAATCAGTAATACATACAGTCAGTAATAAAGCCTGCCTGGCTGCCCTGGGCTCTATGCTCACACAGTATGCACTCTATTCACTAATCAGTAATACATACAGTCAGTAATAAAGCCTGCCTGGCTGCCCTGGGCTCTATGCTCACACAGTATGGACTCTATTCACTAATCAGTAATACATACAGTCAGTAATAAAGCCTGCCTGGCTGCCCTGGGCTCTATGCTCACACAGTATGGACTCTATTCACTAATCAGTAATACATACAGTCAGTAATAAAGCCTGCCTGCCTGCCTGGGCTCTATGCTCACACAGTATGGACTCTATTCACTAATCAGTAATACATACAGTCAGTAATAAAGCCTGCCTGGCTGCCCTGGGCTCTATGCTCACACAGTATGCACTCTATTCACTAATCAGTAATACATACAGTCAGTAATAAAGCCTGCCTGGCTGCCCTGGGCTCTATGCTCACACAGTATGCACTCTATTCACTAATCAGTAATACATACAGTCAGTAATAAAGCCTGCCTGGCTGCCCTGGGCTCTATGCTCACACAGTATGGACTCTATTCACTAATCAGTAATACATACAGTCAGTAATAAAGCCTGCCTGGCTGCCCTGGGCTCTATGCTCACACAGTATGCACTCTATTCACTAATCAGTAATACATACAGTCAGTAATAAAGCCTGCCTGCCTGCCCTGGGCTCTATGCTCACACAGTATGGACTCTATTCACTAATCAGTATTACATACAGTCAGTAATAAAGCCTGCCTGGCTGCCCTGGGCTCTATGCTCACACAGTATGGACTCTATTCACTAATCAGTAATACATACAGTCAGTAATAAAGCCTGCCTGGCTGCCCTGGGCTCTATGCTCACACAGTATGGTCTATATTCACAATGCAGTGACAGAGGAATGCTAGCAGTGTTTTACATACTTGCCAACAGTCCCGATTCTGTCGGGACAGTCCCGATGTTTTTAGTATTATTAATTATTATTATTATTATTTTATATATGTTATTATTGTTGTTGTTGTTATTATTGTTGTGATTGTTATTGCATGTGAGCTGCCGAGCCTCTTCCTCCGTGTCCCTGATGCTTTTGAATTTCCACACAGGCGCAGACTGGTGGAGCCGCGCGGCGCATGCGCGGTCCGGCTGGCGCGACGCATGAGCAGCTCGAAGGAGGTGTTTTGCGCATGCGCTCGCTCTGCGCTTGTTGGACGCGCACGTCACACGGCCTGATTGGAGCTGGCGGACTGCGCATGCGCGGGTGAAGCCATGCATTCTAAAGCTGGGTTTTGAATGTAGCAATTCACCAGGGATCAGAAAGTACATTAAGAGATGGGTACTGACTTGTAGGAAGAAACACAGAGCCCTGTTTCATATAACTTATTTGCTGGTTTTATTTGATTTGTATGGTGGAGAGAATGAAATATTACATTTTGCTTAAAAGAAGATGAAAGGAGCAACAACACTTTTTAAAGGGACTCTCTGGTCACGTTAACAAATTAATCTAAGTGAAGTTGTTATAGTGCCTGGAGGTACGGGGCACACTCTTACCATAAGTAGTTAAACTGTTCTCGAATGGATTAACCCCAAAGTGTGTCTCCAGCGCTGATCTGCAGTCCCCCTGACGTCATATGGCTTCTGAATCTCAGTTTCAGGAAACGCAGAGTGGCGCCGTGCAGGGGTGACGCTGATTGGCTTAGAGCATCAGCCGACACTGTAAGCCGTGGGTCCTCAAACTCCGGCCCCCCAGATGTTGCTAAACTACAACTCCCATGATTCTTTGAATTACATAGATAGCCAGAGAATCATGGGAGTTGTAGTTCAGCAACATCTGGGGGGGCCGGAGTTTGAGGACCCATGCTGTAAGCCAACCTGTAGTTCCCAAATGATAACAAAAGAAACTTGCCTTTTTTATTCAAGAACGGTTTAACACTTTAAGGTAAGAGTGCCTCTGGTGGCCTGCTGGTACCATAACAACTTTGTTTAGATTAAGTTGTTATGGTGACTGGAATGTCCCTTTAATGCATTCAAATATTGAAGCAAGTCTGTATTTCTAAAACTATAGTGTCCCTCTACTCACCATGGCAATTAAATGGATAAAAACCCTATAAATTGCTCACTTTAATCCAGCCGAAACTTCATGAAGGGTAGAACAAGTCTGAAGCTTTATTGGTACAGGTTGGCTTATAAACAATTCCTCAGGCCAGAGGCACACCCCCTGGACCTGATGGAACACCACATTACAAACTGTACAGAGCAATAAGAACAGTATAACATTGTCTAACACTCCCACATACATTAAGCAATCCCTCCCCTCTGCCTGTGATATAATTAAGGTAGTTAATGCATTAATAAAAACACACATTTTTATAAAGTACCATAAGTACCCCAAAACATAACATACCCTGTCTTATACCCCCTGATAGCTCTGATCTGGGTGAACAACATATCCGAAAATCACCCAGATCAGATGAAGGGTTCAGAAATGTTATGGAAGTCATATTTTTGCCTAGGTGAACCCAGCATTTCATGCCCAAAACAGTTCCATAGATTCGCAGGTAAGTGCCGCTGGAAGGCCGACCGGGAACCGCAAGGTTTTCATGCCGAAAATAGTTCCAGGGCATTCGTGGCTAAGTCCCCCTGAAGCCTATTCGCTGTTTTAGTCCATGCGAACAAGATGGTCACCACCTCGTGTTCAAATGTCGAATGGCGGCCACTTAGACTGTTCGGGAGTTTGAAGAACCAATGTTTAAAGTGCCAATAGGCACAATTAGGGTCTCTCAACCAAAATAAATTAAAGGGGCCGTAGTCACAGGGTAAAATGCTGGCCAGTAGTCCCCTCCAAGACTCAGCGGCCAAGTTGCTTTCGTCACAATATTATATATTGTTTTTTAAAGAACAGAAATTTGAAAAATGGAAGAAAAAAAACCCAACAACAATTACAACTAAAGAAAAAGAGCTCAAAATAGATTTACGCATCAGTGCTGATTGTTAAATGCCTCATATGTCTAGGATGTAAAATCATTGGCTTGACTGAGATTGTCAATTCTGATGATCTCAGCCAAGAAGCGAGGGCAGTTGGCAGAGCCATACATCACCCTGGCCAATCAGCATCTCCTCATAGAGATCCATTGAATACATTTCAACATCTGACTATACTCTTAAGTCACTGTTTCCCAATTGGTGTTCCGCGAAATCCAAGGGTTCTGCAATAACAAAATTGGGGTTCCGCCATGAATTGCCCCATCCAAGATGGCTGCTGCTCCCTGCTGTTCCCAGAAGATATGAAACAGCAGAGATCGCGCGTCGATCTATAATTGTATTTAAATATAATTTTATATATATATGTATTTTATTTTTTCTACGTACTATCAGTAGAAATCTGTGATATACCAAAAATATTTATTTCTAAGAGCTGTTAACAAAACAGCGTCCTTTGCAGTCAAGTATTCTCTTTACTCCAAGACTGAGACAAAATCCTGCTTATGTTCATTTCTTTCCATTGCAGTCAGGTAGTGAAATCTGTATTTTTCAGGTTAGAGTAGTGTTTGTTTGTTTGTTTGTTTGTTTGTTTTTACCAACCAACAACCATGAATTTGGACATCTGGTTAAAACAAGGAACTATCAAGAGAAAAATTATTACTACTTCTAACTGTTCGACACTTATAGAAACCGAGAAAGCCAATACTACAAGAAATTAAGAAAACAAGTCTGAAATAGTTGAATCTAATGTTCCTCAAATAGCAGAGACAAGTGACAAGCCAAAAAAGAAAAAAAGAAAAGCACAAATGCTAGCCAATCTTCTTCTCACACAAAGAAAAGAAAATATAATGAAAGCTACTTAAAATTTGGATTCACAAGTGCCACAAATAAAAATATTCCTCAAGCACAATGCTTAGTTTGCAAGAAAATATTGCCAAACAGTTCGTTAGCACCTGCTAAATTACGTCGTCATTTTAAGCAAAATCACGCAGAGCACAAAGATAAAGACATTGACTTTTTTACGTGAAAGCTTCAGGAGTATCAGAAGACTAAACTGTTTATGAGGAAAATATTTAAAAATGATAATAAAAAAAGCCACTTATTAAAAGGTTTGTGCTACGGCACAATTTTTTTTCCGGGGGTTCCACGATGTTGGTATACTATGTCAAAGGGTTCCACTGGAAAAATTAATTGGGAATCCCTGCTCTAAGTTGTACTTCAACTGACTATACTAACCAGAACAACTACATTAAGATGTAGTTACTCTGGTGACTATAGTGTCCCTTTAACCACTTAAGGACACATGACATGTGTGACATGTCATGATTCCCTTTTATTCCAGAAGCTTGGTCCCTAAGGGGTTAAGGCAAAAATGGCCAAACTGAAGAAAATTCTCTAAGTCCGCTATGCTTCCAGTTCAACTACTCTGGTCTAAAATGTAAAATTAATTTTGCATTCTCACTTTAGTAAATAGCCCTGCATCCCTAACCCTAAGGGATTCCCTCTGCTAAAATCAGTACTGATATCAGTGGAGGGATCTAGAAGCTAAAACAGTCTGTGACTGCCATCTACTGGCTGTTTTCAACATGGCAGGGAGATCTCCCTTTACTGCTGAAGCTCCAGCATGCTACCTCTGCCCATGACACTGTGATGGTGCTGGGTAGCTGGCAAATCCCAGCACTGATCACAATAGACAGGGGGTTATGCAGAAATACACTTTCAGGGTCTTTTCAGACCCTGAGTGTCTCCCTCGGACTGCGGGTGGCCTGAGCATCGCAGCTGCTGAGGACAATTGCTCAGCTGGGTTGATGTAAATTGATAGAAAGTGCTGTATAAAACTCTAATTTATGCATTGCATACAGCTCATATGTCAGTCTAGGACCACTAAATATGGGCTCAGCTTACAGGAGGAGCCCCTGGCGACAACAGAACAGAACATTAGGACTTGCCCTCACGTACTAATGGCTGTAAGGACTAAGTGATGGAGGTCATAATGGCATGTCCTTCCCTGCAGGTGCCTTGTTTAGTAGGCCTGCCTACAGCTACAGACAGACCCCCTACCTGTAAGGAAACCTACCTCTAATGACGCTGCTGCATCAATTTGGCCACAGACCTGGGGCTCAGTATCAAGATTTGGCGCATCAGTGTCAAACAAGATTCCTAGATCAAAAAATGACAGCCTTGTCGGTTTCATCTCGCCCAGATTCTGACCTAGTTGTGCCTGCACAATCACTGAGAATGAGCAATAGATTGCATGGAGACAGAGCTATCTGGTACTCGGCCATGTCAATTTGAATGCATCAATTGCACCAGGTTGCACTCACAACATTCTGTAAATAACCATACTTAAGTGGCCCGAGCTACGACCTTGGTGCCTTTTATTACCTTAATTGGATGGCATCCTCCTGGATGCTCTGCGCATGCATCAGTGATGTTGCATTGATGCAAGGGCTTGGTCTATACATATACTTACTTTTTAATGGTCCAGTGCCCTTTACTGGTCTCAGAGCCGTAAGTGCGTTGTTATTGTCCTAGTTCTAGATTGTTTTTATTTGACCTTGCTAGTTTATTAACATTGCTCTATCCAATGTTTCCTGTGTACCAGACTTTGCTACATTTGACCATGACTATCTTGTTCCTGTAAAGTTTGCTAGACCCCGGCTACGTTTAACCTCATTATTCTCTGTATGTGTACCAAATCTGTCTTTTTCCTGACCTCTAGTTTGCAGTGATCCTGTACCAGTGTTTATTCATTATTGCCATTGCTATTAAATTGAATTGTTTTCCTCATGGTCTGAATAAAATTTACATTAGTTCTATTACTTCCTAGTTCCTGCTTTATGTTAAGCCTGGCCAATCTAAGTGTAGCGGGCCTGGGGTGACCCGTTCGGTTACCTAAGCCAAGATACTGCGTATACCTGGAATGGAACCCATTAAAATATGTGAAGACCCATTCTTCCCCCAGTAACTGGAAGGCACACAGTTCCAGGAGGTACAACAACAACTTTATTGGCCACACTCTGCTTTATACATTTCTCCATGCAAGGGGTGGACACCACACAAGGACATTGACCCATCCCAGGATACTCCCCCTCCCAGGGGTCCCAGCGTGGGATAGGAACTCTGGTCCCTTGTTCCTGCCACCCAAGCACAGGGTTTCCCACTTCCTGTAACAGGGGGTCTTCTCCCAGGCATAGAAAGCCTGCCACTCAGTGTCTTCCTCCCATGAGCCTCCCTACATGGGAAGAACAGCACGGGAAACCCCCTGCCTCTTTGTTCCCCAGGCACGGATAGCCCGCCAAGCCCGCCATTGTCCCCAAAGGATGTCCACACCAATCCCCAGGGACCTCCGTAGCGATACCTGCCTCGCACAGCCTCCATTCAAAGGGACCCCGTGTGAAACCAGGCAAGGGAAGCGTCTCCTTTCAGGGTACAAATGCTCCCACTGGTTAGCATTCGTCTATATGAACGGCGGCCACCCAGGGAAGCACTCATTAATTACTTCCTTTGCGGTTTCACACTTATGTTGCGAGTTGTGAACGCTCTAATTGATTGGTGCGAACATTCCAATGGGCACGGGGAGGTCTTCGTTTGGTAACCAAACGAGGTGGGAAGCAATCCATGAATGCTCCTCCTGGATGGTGTTCGTCTATACGAACTGGCTGCCACCCAGGGAGGCACACGCCGAGGCTTCCCTTCCGGTTTGTGGTTTTGACACCCTGTTACGAGGTGCGAATGTTCTAAGCCAGTATTCTAAATGAGGTATCGGGGTGGTCCCCGTTCGAGAAGTGAATGAATTCCCTTTGTGGAAAACCTCGCAAATGGGGAGCAGGCACATTTATACGAAATAGAAGGGAAACACACAGCTTATAACAAGGTAATGAACAAACAGGCAGCGGTCCCGCCACACTAAGGTCCTGTAATACGTCTATCTCCCGTCCCTTTGCCTTGGTTAGGATTGTTGTCTTGTGTTATGCAGAGGATTAAAGTTTACTATGACACTACCTCTTCAGGAAGGGATGCTGCATGGGATAAGTAGTTTATTTATAGGAGAAGTTCCACTATTGAAATGGGATGATTTTAACTGCTCTGCAAATTGATAGCAAAGAATGTAAGCTCTTAGAAGCTGCTGGAGACACTGAACGTCATCCCTGCAATCTTTGCAAGACTGAACCCAGGAAGTCCCTCTATTAGCTATCAGAATGACTGCCACTAGAGGTGGCCTTAGGCAGCAGTGTTAAAAATGCATTTTCTCAGAAAAGCTGTCACTGATACATTGCTCACCACTGGCCATAGCCAAGAGTAATGTGCACAATTGCACTAATTCCATCTTATGTTTACCATGAAAATTGAGACACTGATAAAAAAGTATTTCAGTAAATAATCCTCGGAATGGAACATTCAAAACTATCTAGTAGTATGTTTACTTTGAAAAAGTGATTATTTTATAATATTTTGTACTTATTCCAAACATCCTTTTTTCAATGTTTAAGAAGTTTGTCAATCATCTTGCACTTGTGGTACATGTGGTTTTTAAATTGAGATTCTATAATTTGCTGAGATGTTGCAAGCTGTTAACATGCAGACTACAAAGGGAACATAAATGGAATCTTGGGGGAACTTCACATGGAACTAAGGACAAAAACACCTACTGGCAATGGTGACATGTTGGATTTTGTCTGATACGTTAAGAATAAAACGAGTTCCATTCCTGCCTAAACATGATTTGAAATATTAACAGGAATTTTATGTACAGAGAAAATCCATTTGAAATCACATTTGAAGATGAATAGTTGATAATATCAGACAGCTGTAATTTTCCCATTGGTTTGTAAAGTACATGAAGTAATAATATAGAATTGTAATTTGTTCTAAGTATCTATCACTGTGAAATGACACAACTGCTGTCATCTTTCAGCATTTGAGGATTTAACCAGGTAGGCAACAGAGAAGCACAGAACGAGAATGAATTAGAAGAACTGTTACTGGCGCACTTATAGTGTTCCTTTAACCTGTTTTTCATTAAATGCTGCATTTTATTTTAAACTTATATTAAAGCTTTATCAAATGACATTATCATCTAATTCGGACAATAACATTGCAAATGAAGAGGAGAACATGGGAAATTTCCGCTCTTCAGCGTTAGTAGTGGAGACGGGGAGCTGCAGGTAAGAAGGTTAACTGTTCAAAAGCAATTTGATTCCATACACTAGGAGGTACCAGGGAACTCCTGACACCATATCCTCTATAGCGAGCTGTAGTGGTTATGGAGCGTAAAGTGTTCCTCTAAGTGGTTCTTTTACCTTTTCGGGCATTTAACAGTTATTATTATTATTATTATTATTATTATTAATAGTGTTTATATACTAGTATGTATACTTTAAATGTCCATGTTGTGCAATTGTAAATCACTGAGAAATATGTAGCGGTGGAGAAGGCACTTCTCAAACAAGTTTACAATCTGTGAAAATTTTCGATTGTTGGGTATATATATATATTATTAAATGCCGTACCCAGGGTCAATTACTGGTAAGGTGGTATGACCAGGATTTGAACCTTGATAACAGCTAATGAGTATATTTACTTTGTAATTACAATTATTTATATAGTACCAACATATTCTTCTGCGCTGTCCAATAGCTAAACAATACAAACTGTTAATTTTTAAATTAATTAAAAGTTTGTATAAAGGACCACTCTAGGCACCCAGACCACTTCAGCTTAATGAAGTGGTCTGGGTGCCAGGTCCAGCTAGGGTTAACCCATTTTTTTTATAAACATAGCAGTTTCAGAGAAACTGCTATGTTTGTAAATGGGTTAATCCTTCCTCCAATTCCTCTAGTGGCTGTCTCATTGACAGCCGCTAGAGGCGTTTGCGTGCTTCTCACTGTGAAAATCACAGTGAGAGCACGCAAGCATCCATAGGAAAGCATTATGAATGCTTTCCTACGAGACCGGCTGAATGCACGCGCAGCTCTTGCCGCGCGTGCGCATTCAGCCGAAGGGGCGGAGAGGAGGAGGATCGGAGGAGGAGAGCTCCCCGCCCAGCGCTGGAAAAAGGTAAGTGTTTACCCCTTTCCTCTCCCCAGAGCCGGGCAGGAGGGGGTCCCTGAGGGTGGGGGCACCCTCAGGGCACTATAGTGCCAGGAAAACGAGTATGTTTTCCTGGCACTATAGTGGTCCCTTAATAACCCTCGTTGAAATTATGCAATCTGGAAACTCCTGGAGCTCATTTATCTCACTTGGTTGTTTTCTCCTAGACTTTCATTTTTTATAATAAATACATTATTCTCTTTCACGATCAATACTTCCAAAATTAATAGACATGCAATCTCTTTAAAATAGCAGATGTCATTTGACTTTGCGACCACCAGGCTGCGCTGTTTCTCTATAGTAACTCTTTTGCAGACCCAGGGCGTTTAAAGGTCATGAGCTAAAAAGAGTAACAGTAATTTTCTGATCATCTATCCCAATCACCAGGTAATGGCACTATGCGAGGCCGCAGAACTAGATTACTTTACAATCTAACACCTATTCCCTTCTGAGTTAGCATTTTTCTCACTCCCACATAATTTATACAGCTGTGCAAAATAACAAAGACTAAGTGTCGAGATTTCAGAATGTAGCACATTATTGTTCTAGTGGAAAATGCAGTTCCAGTGTCCGTTTTTTTACCCCAATTTTAACTTTACTTAATATTGTTTATCTCGGTATGTTGCTAATTGCTTTGATAATTAAAGTCCCTATGGATTTTATTGTGATTAAAGAGGCAAAGACATGTTTATTATTGTTATATAAATACATTTTATTATAATCTTTATTACATGTATTCACTATAATATTTGTATTGTTATTTTATGCTGTTTTACTGGTGATGTCACATATTGTCTTTTAGTTTGGATAAATTGGGGGACTGGGTAGCCAAGTGTCATGGTTAGGTATACCCCAACACACAATGTGTAACCCCACAGTTATCAAAGAACGTATTATCAAACCTTTGGATGGTTGGGCTTAACGTAGGACAGAAAAAGAAAAGTCAGAGAATAACCAAATTTATAAGGACGCCCGAAATCAGGAGAGCGATTATGGAATAGCTGGGTCAGGATAACAGAGCAGAAACGTCAAATACCAAGCTAAGTCAAAATACCAAGGAAAACTATACAGACAAGCGTCTTTCGCTTTAAGGCCATGTTC